TTGCTGGTGTTTTCTTATGGTTTTGGTGCTTATATTCTAAAATAAATAAACCGATTGCTTTCTTTCCTATATACCTTTGAGGTTTTGTTTGTAAAAAAAAAATCGGGGGGGGGGAGTTTCCCTCTGCCCCCCTTCCCACTGAGTATGCCACTGCTGTGGCGGAATTGTCCCGACTGTTGTATTGTGTTGTATTCCAATAGTCATAAAAAGGTACTTGCACACGTACTGCATTTCCCATGGTCAGTAAACTTTCCTTTTTTTTCCAGACAGTCTTTCAAAACTGGTTACCAGGCTCGCCCGACAACACTGGAAACGAGGACTGCGCGCAAATCCACCCCAGATACTATGGCTCGAAATGGACCGACAATAATTGCAGAATTTACCGTTATGGCTATGTGTGCAAGAAGTCTATAAAAAGTAAGAATGCGTCTATCGCTAGACAGACAAAACTAATGCTAATGAGAGTTGGAACAAAAATTAGGTGATACTAAAGTTCCAGGAAAGTGCTGTTGGTAATTGCAAACGCAGCTGTAATCCTATGCTGAATATCTGATATTAATCCACAGCCATACGCTACCAGACTTAAAGTCACACTTACTCGACTTAATAGTGCGCCCCTTCGCACACACCTAGTAACAGCACTTTCTGTATGAAAGCAGTTCATATTAACTAAGGTAATGGCAGCAAATCGGATAGAATGAGCATTATGCGACAAATCCAAGTAAAAGTGACTGGTTGTACAAAGAGAACGCTAACAAAGTTGAGCTATTCACAGTCAGACTGTTCACAATGTTGAACAGTGATGCTGAAAATGAAACCTATAGTGTTCTTCAGCTGGTTTTCATTCTCTATACTAACTAGTTTGAAGTAGCTATTACGACGTCCGACCACAAATGCTGATGTATACTTGAAACAATCTTAAAACTTTGCTCTTTAAAATCGTTTGAGAAATATATTCAAATAACTTGAGATTCATATTTACGGTAATGCATCATCTGACCACTTTCATTCTATCCGCAAAATTTTAAGAACTTGCATGAGTGACACATACACAACCTTTCAGCCGATACCGAATAACGTCTGCAATTGTTTCAACAGTCCTGCCACTTTTTAAAAACTGTTGCTAACTGCTTGATAAAAGTGCTGTTTGAAATTTTGAACTACTACGCATTAAGACCTTCGGCAACTTTGGTTTAAATGTTTGAGCAACAGTTGCTTATGTGCCCAACTAGTTGCTTAAAATTTTATATTTACCGAAAAGGGTCACTTGGGAGACATTCCCATAAAGAACGTCCACAAACTTTACTGTCCCATAATTAAATATTCACTAATCTGATCTGAGCCAAACTTTGTATGTTTTCATTTTAGGCCCTAAACTATCATCTCTCAAAATATGGACGGTAAAATTTGGCCTCCTTCTGGTAGTTTGTAAATAAGGAGACACTGAAATGTCTCCCTAAAAGCCAATTTCTCCCTAATGCTGAGAAATTTGCCACAAAATGTCTCCCAAATGACTTATTTGTAAATATTCAATGTTTGTTCTAAATATTTCTAACAGTGTGCGCTAAACAGCCGTGCCAAAACGGGGGTTCGTGTATTGATCTGTACAATGGGTACCAATGTAGATGTCGGACGGGCTTCACAGGAAAAAACTGCCAAACGAGTAAGTACCTTGATTGAATCAGCATTGTGCATTTCAAAGCATGTACGCGAAATTGCCCCAAATTTCATTTCTTTCGGTTTATTTCAAAATAATAAACTATTTTATTGCACTAGCTTTCGATTTTTTCCCAGTGAATAGCTGTTTTGAAACATATTCTCTTTAAATTCCAAAGAGTGCAAATTCACTCCATTTGAGTGAAAATTCAATCCCTCAAATAGAAATTAAGGACCAGACAAATTGGAGTGAATATTTTTCATTCCAAAAGTCAGCCTGAATTTCACTCGAGCTTCCACTTGAAGGGGCTATTTTCAGCCTTTTTCAGTCTAAATTCAGAGTGATTTTCACTCTTAAACGTCTTGTCCCTAATTTCACTCTTTCCAATTTAGAGAGTTCCCTCTTAACACTAATGTCATTCAAGCAGTTGCATCATGCACACTTCAGCTCGTCACATCAAGGCCCAGCTCTCTAAAACTACTCTCTAAAACGCAATTTTGCTCTCAGTTTGTGACATGCTTAGAATCTAAACATTGGGTGTCCAGCTGTAGTTTTACAATATCGATTATCAAACCTTAACATATCCATTATTTTCTAAATATGTTTACTATAACTATGTAAGCATGTTCTAAGAAGTGAAAGCAAAATAGTCCTTTTTGATAAAAGCGTTTAATTGCTAATCACAGTTTTTGCGGTGTGGATGATGCTGCTATTTCGGGCCCACCGTCGCTGAATATAATCATATGTTTGTGACCATTGACTCTTTTAGAAGAAAGGCAATTAGTGATAAAGGCGTCCTTGCCCTGCAATCTTTGTTAGACCTTATCACTTTGGTAGAAACAATGCTGCAGTGACATTGTACCTATGCATTAAAGTTTGTATTCTAGTGATGAAAGCGTTTACTTTCAGCGGTTACGTTATACCTTTTGGCATTCCTGGGATAATTTTCCTTGGAAGAAAATAGCGTAAAATTGTTATTCTCCCAATGTGCAGGTGGGTATTGCTACTACTCAATTTTCAGCCTTCTCATATCCGAAACTTTCCTGTTTATTCTACTCCAGCGAAAAAAAATTAGCATAATTTAAAACTGGAAAACATAACAGTAATACCTTTTCTGTCGATTTTAATGACTGCGCATGCGTCTCAGACAAAATGAAGGTGAGGGTTCTGATGCGGGTAAACGGCCTCAAGGAGAAAAAATGTGAAATCAGTGAATAACTGATTTAAGAAGATCCCTACATCTAATTACTATCCACAATATGGTTCGTTTCTTACAATCATTTCCTAATTTGCATATCTTGCTCCTTTTCCATTAGCTGGCTCCTTATTGATATATTTTCAAATCCATATGATCCCTGCTGTTATCTCGTTTACTCAATTTTCATGGACAATCGATCTACAGTTTCAGAGCTGGAACATCATTTTTGGTTGAATGTTTTATGCACACATCAACAACTGTTCATTTCAGCCATGCAAGAGTGGGAGTGACTGTTCTGACTTGGGTAATGACTATCTGTGCAAATGAATAGAAAACTGCGACGAAAAAGATTGTTAAATCACAGAGTTGCTGATAATGGAAAACACCTTCCTTTTATTTTAAACAAAAGGTTCCAAATTTTCCTTTTATTTTAAACAAAAGGTTCTAAATTTTCATATCTTATTTCTCTACCAACAGTTGGTTAGATCTAATTTTGCATTTTCTTATGTTTATATTCTAGTTCTTAAAATTCCCTAAAACTGTATTTCGTATAACTGATTTTCACAGATAATGTACACTTTGAGTTAAAAGACTAAATTATTAAACGTTTTATGCAGATATCAACGACTGTGCATCTCGCCCCTGCAAAAATGGAGGTAAATGTACAGATTTGGTAAACGACTACAAATGCACATGCAGAGCCGGATTCTCTGGAAAAGACTGTGGTATCAGTAAGTAATATCATTAGCAATTCTCTTCTTTCTTAATGTCCTAATACAACAGGTTATAATTAAATGTTTTATACCCCTACTCTTATTTCGTACAAAAAATTCCGCATTCTTAGGTATTATGTCTCTACAAACAATTGGTTTGTTTTCATAGGTATTTCCTAATGTTTATATTCTTGTTCATAAAATTCCTGAATATTGTATTCTGTATGACCACTTTTCTCAGAAAATGTACACTAAAGTTTTTAAAAAACTAAATTATTTAAACGTTTTATTCAGATATCAACGACTGTGCATCTCGCCCTTGCAAAAATGGAGGTAAATGTTCTGATTTGGTAAACGACTACAAATGCAAATGCAGAGCCGGGTTCTCTGGAAAAGACTGTGGTATCAGTAAGTAATATCATTAGCAATTTCCTTTTTCGTAATTCCCTAATACAACCGGTTATATTTAAAAAATTTTTCTAACCCCTCACTTTTATTTCATACAAGAAATTCTAGATTTTCAGGAATTACGTCTCTACCAAAAATTGGTTTGATTTCCTGATGTTTATATTCTAGTTCATAAAATTCCTAAAATACGGTATTTCGTATAACCGATTTTACCAGAAAATATACACTGAAGTTAAAAAACTAAATTAGTTAAACGTTTTATGCAGATATCAACGAATGTGCATCTCGCCCTTGCAAAAATGGAGGTAAATGTTCCGATTTGGTAAACGACTACAAATGCACATGCAGAGCCGGATTCTCTGGAAAAGACTGTGGTATCAGTAAGTAATATCATTAGCAGTGTCCTTATTTCTTAATTTCCTAATACATCAGGTTATAATTGGATTTTTTATTTTACCCTTCACTCCTATTTCGTAAAAGAAATTCCCAATTTTCAGGTATTACGTCTCTACCAACAACCGGTTTGATTTACTAGGTTTTTATATTCCAGATCATAAAATTCCTGAATACTGTATTTCGTATAACCGAATTTCACAGAAAATGTACACTAAAGTTTTTAAAAACTAAATTATTTAAACGTTTTATTCAGATATCAACGACTGTGCATCTCGCCCTTGCAAAAATGGAGGTAAATGTTCCGATTTGGTAAACGACTACAAATGCACATGCAGAGCCGGATTCTCTGGAAAAGACTGTGGTATCAGTAAGTAATGTCATTAGCAATTTCCGTCTTTCTCAATTTCCTAATACAAAAGGTGATAATTGGATTTTTTTTACCCCCAATCGTATTTCGTAAAAAAATTCCGAATTTTAGGGTTTACGTCTCTACCAACAATTGGTTTGATTTCCTGATGTTTATATTCTAGTTCATAAAATTCCTAAATACTGTATTCCGTACAACCGTTTTTTCCAGAAAATGTACACTAGAGTTAAAAGAACTAAATTATTAAAACGTTTTATGTAGATATCAACGACTGTGCATCTCGCCCTTGCAAAAATGGAGGTATATGTTCCGATTTGGTAAACGACTACAAATGCACATGCAGAGCCGGATTCTCTGGAAAAGACTGTGGTATCAGTAAGTAATGTCATTAACAATTTCCTTCTTCCTCAATTTTCTAATACAACAGGTTATAATTGGATTTTTTTTACCCCCAATCGTATTTCGTAAAAAAATTCCGAATTTTCAAGTATTACGTCTCTAGCAACAATTGGTTTGATTTCCTGATGTTTATATTCTAGTTCATAAAATTCCTAAATAATGTATTCTGTATAACCGTTTTTCCCAGAAAATGTATATTTAAGTTAAAAGAACTAAATTATTAAAACGTTTTATATAGATATCAACGACTGTGCATCTCGCCCCTGCAAAAATGGAGGTAAATGTTCCGATTTGGTAAACGACTACAAATGCACATGCAAAGCCGGATTCTCTGGAAAAGACTGTGGTATCAGTAAGTAAAATTTACAATTTTCTCTTTTCTTTATTCCTTATAACATGTCACTAGGTTCTTGGAAGCCTTCTGAATCTTAAGTTCTCACCAAAAGAATGAACATTTTCCTATTTGCCCCGTTTTGATAAGGAGTCAATTAAGACAACAGAATTTAAGAAGAGAAAATCATGACGTAGTTAATGTTTTTTTTTTAATTTACAGATATCGACGACTGTGCATCTTCGCCGTGCAAAAATGGAGGTCAATGTTCTGATTTAGTTAACGACTACAAATGTAAATGTGTACAAGGCTTCGACGGAAAGAATTGTGAAATAAGTGAGTGATTTATCTAAGTAAATCACCATTGTTCATTTTTGCTAAGAGACTGTTTCATGGAAACATTTCTTTTCCAAAAAAGTAATTTCTTTCGAACGGGCGTTTCGTTTTTAGTAGTAGTTTCTAATTTGGACATTATAATACATGAATAAATTCGAAAATTTTATTTTGCTTGCTACATTTTCAGAGTAAATCGAGACTAGAGTTTTAAGACTTAATTACTAGTACCTTTTATGCAGATATTGACGACTGTGCATCTCAGCCATGCCAAAATGGAGGTAGTTGCTCAGATCTGGTTAACGACTACAAATGCAAATGCGTAGTTGGCTTCGACGGGAAAGACTGTGGTAACAGTAAGTAACGCAATTTTCTAATTTCTTAATTCCTTACAGCACCTGAAAAGTTTCGTTAGTCTTTCTTAGATTCTATATCTGAATTCTCTTTTTCCTTTCCAAAAAAAATTATACTTTTCTGTTTGCCCCATTTTGATACGGAATCAAGACTTTAGAATTTTAGAAGAGCAAATCATAACGTAGTCTATTAGCAGATCCCTATCACGTATTTCTACCATCAAATTTGTATGGGCAATCTATAGTCAAGTTTAAGATCTGAACATCATGCCTAACTTGTTTTATGCAGATATTGACGACTGTGCATCTCAGCCATGCCAAAATGGAGGTATTTGCTCAGATCTGGTTAACGACTACAAATGCAAATGCGTAGTTGGCTTCGACGGGAAAGACTGTGGTAACAGTAAGTAACGACAATTTTCCTATTTCTTAATTCCCTACAGCGCCTGAAAAGTTTTTAAAGTCTTTACTAGCTTTTATATCTGAATTCTTATTTTCCATTCCAAAAATTATGCTTTTCTGTTTGCTCCATTTTGATAAGGAATCAATACTTTGGAATTTTAGAAGAGCAAATCATGACGTAGTAGATTGGCAGATCCCTATCATATATTTCTACCATCAAATTTGTATGGGAAATCTATAGTAAAGTTTAAGATCTGAAACTCATGCCTGTAACATGTTTTATGCAGATATTGACGACTGCGCATCTCAGCCATGCCAAAATGGAGGTAGTTGCTCAGATCTGGTTAACGACTACAAATGCAAATGCGTAGTTGGCTTCGACGGAGAAGACTGTGGTAACAGTAAGTAACGGCAATTTTCTAATTTCTTAATTCCCTACAGTACCTGAAAAGTTTCGTTAGTCTTTCTGAGATTCTATATCTGAATTCTCTTTTTCCTTTCCAAAAAAA